CGAAAGGTATATCGGACACCGCCTAAACGAATCTGATTGGCGGATATCCTCACATGTTTTGTCGCCAAGAGAAAATTCGACTCCCTATTGGGTAGCGTCCCAGACAATTTTTTGCTCCCTTCTTAGAATATCCATACTATTGAAAAGTCCAGTGGCGTAGGTTTTATCTCCGTTCATTGTCGTGTATGAGTGTTACATTTATTGTTCTACTAAGTTTGTATGTTTAGTGCTGTGTGTTTTTGAATAGTTTAGTGTTTTGTTATTTGTTATTGTTATTCGTTTTAGTATTATTTTTTTAAAATGAACTAATTTACTCGCGGAAAGACGCTTCATAGCCAAACAAGAGAAGTGATTGCGAATGTTTATAGGTTAGTAATAATAATATGCAATAATTGTAGTTTTTGACGACTGAGTCTGAATATAAATAAAAAACAAGGAAATGCTAAGCTTACATTCTGATGATTATTTATAGGGTTTGCGATGAGGAAGCGGCAAACAATTCCCTCAAGTTGCCGGTTAAACGTAAGCTTGATAGGGTGTCCCTTTATACCGGAGTCGGAGTATCTTCTGTTAGGAAAATTCATAACGAAGATAAAGAAAGACTAGAAAATAACCCGAATAAAATGTTATCCAGTCCCGGAAAAAAAAAGACCGCGTCAGTCTCTTGTTGAGAAAGATGAAGATTTTGATTTTCAGATTATTAGACATTTGATAAACAGATTTTATATTGAATATAAAGTTATCCCGACAACTAGGGAGTTATTACAAAAGTTGCGAGAAGACTCAAATTTCCCCTATTCTAGGGAAGCACTCAGGAGTTTATTAAAATCAAATTTTTTTTTTTGGCGCAAATGTCAAAATAAAAGAAAAGTTTTGATGGAGAGGCCTAATATATTGCAATGGAGGTACAAATACGTCCGTGAAATACGTAGATATCGTGAAGAAGGGCGCAATATTGTTTATTTGGACGAAACCTGGGTGGACAATGACTTGACTTTCAAAAAATGCTGGCAGAGCGAAACTGTTTCTGGTGTAATAAGCAGTAAGGTTCTACAGGTAAGCAAAAATGCTATATATATGTTAAATTTAACTCTGATTTGTAACATATTATATAATCGTCTTGTATATTTTAGGTCGACTCATTATAGTGCATGCAGGTTCAGAAAATGGATTTGTTGACAATGCCTGTTTGATATTTAAGGCGGGATTAGCTACAGGCGATTACCACGGTCAGATGAATCGGGAAAATTTCACACGCTGGCTCACAGAAAAACTCCTCCCGAATATACCTGCCAATTCGGTTATAGTATTTGACAATGCTCCATATCATTCCGTCCAGGAAGATAAAACTCCGACAAAATCATCTTCGAAAAAAGATATAATGGCCTGGTTGACAAGGAAAGGTACTTATGACTCAAAACATGCATGTACATATCAAACTATACAATAAAATATTTTATAGGCATAAATCATGAGGCAACTGTCAGAAAATTTGACTTGTTCGATCTGGTCTTACTTCATAAGCCCCCTGACAACCAAAAAAATTATGTAGTTGATCGGATCATAAGATCACATGGACATACTCCTCTAAGAAGACCTCCTTATTTATGCGAGCTAAACCCAATAGAATTAGCTTGGGCAAAGCTTAAATTTCATAAAAGAAGCCGCAATACCACTGGAAACTTCAGTTTAACCGCACTGAAAGAAGTTACTCAGGAAGCGATGTCCTTAATACCCATTAATGATTGGCAGAAATTTTGTCAACATGCTAGGGACATTGAAGATAAATTTTGGGAAAATGATCAATTTATGGAGGAAATGGAACCAGTTATAATAACTATAGGGCAAGATGACGACAGCGAAACTGATGACGACAGTGACGATGATGATAATGATGAAGTTGACGAACACCAATGCTAATTCAATAGGTGAAATGTAATTTTGAAATGCTGTATAATGTAAGTATTATTTATTACAGAGATTATAAGTTAAACGGATATGAAATATGTTTAAAGTTGTTTGTTTCTACTTAAGCGACACCGATGCTCTAGAAATATCCACATCAACAGTCCAAAATTGCAACAATAGGAATCCAGAAAGATGCGGATTATGAATTAAAAATTAATTCTGGTCATGTTTCGGCTTGTGGCACTTTTTAAAGTAAATGAGCATATTATAAGATCACGGATGTATAATATATATATACATATATATATATATATATTCTCAAGGTAAAAAACCACGTTAAGTATCTATTTGTATTTGAAAAATATATTTTATTTACGGCTTTGACAAAAACGCTAGCTTGATTTAGGTTTTAAATCGCGCAGTTATCATGATTTTTTGAATTGTGGCAATTTTGGGAAGTGAGTAGACATTTTTCCTTTTGTTGAAGTGTAGAAACAAACTCAAGTGTTTTTTTACATGGTGTAGATTGTAGAGAGCAGCTATTTTTGAGTTTACCCGAGACTTTATTTATTATTATGGACAATGCTCCATATCATTGTGGGCTTATTGAGATACTCCCCAAATTTAAAGTGAAACATAAACGTATAGTTTACTAAATTTAAACCAATTATGAAATAATCCCAAACTTTTATAAAATACCGCACGCCGCTGGCATTTTATGAATGAAACCAGCCATGTTTTGCTTTCCCCTCACCGATACCCCGATGTTGCAGATCCGTTTGCCAAACTATAGGTGACAAGGCAGGTGTTTTGTTTACAATTAGAAATTCTAAAAAACTTCGTGACCGATTGACTCCAATGTTATTGTGGTTATTAAGAGAGGAATGTGAGGAATTTCAAGTAACTGCTTGACATTATCGTCGCATTACTGACAAGTGCCAAAACCTGCATCTCGTAAATATCTAAAAATCTTGTTTGAAGAGTATTTTGTTCCTGCCAACACTTTTGATTAAAACCAAAAAAAAACACGTTTTCTCATTCTTTCCAGTTGAATAAAAAGTCTCACCAGAAAAATAGGGGTACCCATTTTATGTGTCCATATTTTAAATACCTCATTGAACAACTTGCATGAATAAAACCAAACTTTATAATTATTCGCAAAATAGGGGAATTTTCGTCTATGATTAGACTGATTTAGGGCATGTGATTACACCAGAGGGAGTAAATCGAAACCCAGATAAGTGTTGGCAGTAAAAAATGTTTTTAAGATTACCTAAATCAATTATTTGTCAATAAATAATCTATCCCAGAATTATAGGTTGATAGCTTAGAATTGTTAAATTCAGATCCTGAAAATCCGACTACAGCCCCGCAAGGATCCTATTCATCAAGAAAAGTATATATTAGGCGAAATAATCAATAATAAAACTACCCGAATATTTAATATATCTTACAGAGCTGAAAAGTTCTCAGAATTACAAATGATTTTTAGACAATGAAAACGGACACTGAAAATTCTACTTCCTATTTTCCAGAAAATTACTGTAATCTCATATCATCATTATAATCGAAGATTCATGATCAATTGATTGAAGTAAATCCAATTTATACAAGGAAACAGAAAATTGGATCACGTAATGGACTTGGGTCAGTTATAAAAATTATAACAGGATATCTAGATGAATCAGCTGCATAACGCCATGATCTATGTCTTATCATCATTATCGAAAACTCAAGAGAAAATCAAAAGTATAGTCCATGAACTGATTACAATTATTAGTCAGTTTTTACTGTTTATACAAATGGTAATATAACAAATACTGATACATCCATGATGTTTTAGAAAAAGTAGAGGTTGCAATGTCATTTTCAGACATTTCATACTTCCTCAAGACTTACTAGTAGAAGTGAAGCTCATCTCAGAACATTTACATGATGTCAGACTACCGTTTGAAACTGCTTTAAAGAACATTTTTCCTTAACAATACATGTCCCACAAGAAGAAGCCAGTAAAGCTAAGCAAAGGAAATCCATGTGAAGTTCCAATGTTACTATAAGAGAATAATATATTTTGTATTCCATTCAGTCTTAGTTATTTCTCGGTCGAATTTCCTTTACTTTTTCTATGTTTTAGGAAATAAAAGCTTTAAAAAAACTTATTTCGGAGTCGGGCTTTTGTAATTCGTGCGATTGTTGACATTTTACCGGTAGACAAAACGAGCAGGAAAAACAACTTTCCTTAGACGTTGCCCGTTGTGCCCAAGAAAGGATTGTTTATTTTTAGCTTGTTGCAATTAGGCAAAAAAGATCGAGGCGGGTTTAACATGGGCTATTCAAGAAAATAACTGTTACGAACATGAAATAAGTACTTGCTGCATGGTAAGAAAAGTAAAGAACAAAATTAATAGGGATTATATCCTCAAAATAGGGTTAATAAAAAGTAAGGTCTAATTCCCATAGTATCATATTAAATATACTCATCTTTTCGCAAGATTCGTCAGACCAAGCTTGTACCGTTACTTTTCGATCAATTGGTCGCAGAATCTATTTATTTTTTACCATTTTTGGTAACGGTTACAACGAGGGCTTGAGTATTGTGTTCATTAATATTATTGAATTTGAGAAGGTTGTATAGTAGCTTCTTGTGGTTTTAGTAACAGATGCAGTGATCATAACGAATTTTTCACAATATAAGGATCATATTGCGAAGTGTTGAATTTTTGAAAAAACATTTGTATAGGTGTCGGACAGAACAAGCTGTTCTGTCTTTACTATAAAGGCAAACGGGATCTGTGCCCAGTGCTCCTGCTTGACGAGGATCCCCAAATACCCAAAAATCAAACGGAATTTATAAAAAAGTCTAAGTAAACCCCATCACCCTGTTTTCTATAATTGCACACCGGTCAACGTGCTTAACTGACTCGCATATGTACTCCAGTTTAATTTCTGTGTAATGAGACATAAGCTCTCAAGCAGTTCCTCACGGTACGACTGATTGACCGTTGGAGACAAAATTGGCAATAATTGTGTACAAATAAACGTTTTTGCTGCATTTACTCTCATTCTATAGCTAGTAATAAAATCTCAGGGGCGTCATTGTACTAATATTTATTTTCAAATGAAAACGAACGAATATAAATACATAGAGTTCACAATATTACAGAGTTTCAGTCAACACTACAAATACAAATATGTGGACTAATATTGCATATTTCTTTGGCCCAATTATTTCAATTCCTTGAATGCCATTGGGATGACTGTGGATGCTACGAATATAAGAATTATAATACTTGAAAGATGTGTGAAAATTATACTTACAAGCTGACGGATTTGATTCTATGAGATCTTCATTAAAATGACCTGTAAACAAAATTGAGATTAACCCAAAGAGAATACTTTGTAATGTGTCAGGTATATCGCACACAATAGCTATGAATTGATATGTGATCAATTAATGCAATTTGCTTTACACGTTTCAAAAGCGTTGTACCAATTAGGAGCGTCTAGAATCTACAAGATTTCTGCAATCAGTTTTCAAAAATTCAAACTTTGTAATGAAGTTTCAGTACCTCTGTAACTGGAGTATTTAAGTATGCTTGGTGATGAAATAATTGGGTCTACATCCACATGTCTACCTTCCAGATTGTATTGCCATTCTAAAAAATATGATTATTGGAAACTTTCGGTTATAAAATATACAATGACGCTTACGTCCTTCAGTAAGACACGAGATGTTCTTCAACAAAAACTCCTTGTCTCGTGATTCCCACATGAGCATATTCCTATATGCTGAAACCATTTCTCTTTGGGCATTTGCCTTTTGTCTTAGATAATACACCAAGGCACTAAAAGTGGGAAATACTTCAATGGTTATTAGTTAAACGACGTATCTAATGGTGGCGCTAGTTGCAGGTAGTCTAAGGTTATTAAAGACAAAGCTGTGAATTGCCGATCAGCTGTTCTCGTCAATAGACGTCAAAACGTGACGCCATGAAAATAGGTGACCTTTGTATTAAATATTTCTTTTCGCCATCCATTTTTGACAGTTTGGCCCTTGCCACACAGGCATCGTCAGGCACAAAATTTGATACTTACCACAAACCTATAAGAATCAATGCAATGGAATTCGGTTTGGTTACATATAGTACGGCTTGGAACACAAAGCTATTGCTTTTTAATCTCAATATTTCATCAGTCAGGAACTCGTAAATATATGTGTAATTTCTAAAAGGTCCACAATCTGCAGAGGGAACACTACAAAAAGAAACTAGCCATTAGATATGAACCAAGGCCAGGCTGGATAAAGGTCTACGTGGTACGTTGAACTAGGAAAGTATGATACTCCTAGATCATACTTACTAGGATACCATGTAACTCAACAATCCTCCAACTAATAGAAGTCCCAGGAAAGTCATCATTTGAAACCACGTTTGAGTTTGTGCAGCCCTCCATGTTTCTGAAGACGGCTTACATAGTTTCAACACAAACTGACGAATGTACCAGAGACAAAACATTTTGATTGTAACCTGTGAAATAAATATTGGAACATTAACATAAACAGGGTGTTTTCAAAGTTGAGTCATTAATCTTAACAGCCATTGGAACTCGTCAAAAGAAGCTGATATACCAAAAATCACCTATATAAAAGTTGCATAATAAGATAATTAATTAACATTATTAAAAATTATTTTAAATGAATCATTATTAAGTTAAATGGATACCGCTTTCACGAAAACTGTTCAAAATTGTCCCCATTTGTCCGATTAACGCAAAATCTTGCTCAGCGAATCCACGACTCAAAATGAAATGAAATCCTGGTGTTCACGAATCCCAAACATTTTCAGTACGCTGTTAAAGTTCTTCCAGAGCATTTACTGCTCCATCATGATGCATCAACTCTTTCAAATAGCCCCACAGAAAAAAACCGGAAGGCGTTAAATGCGGGGAGCGAGCCCGCCAAGAAATGGGTCCATTGCGCCCTATTCGGAAACTCATCATTTAGATGTTCATGAACTTCTCGCCTAATATGTGGGGGAGCCCCATCATATAGGAACCACATATTCTGTCTCACATTGAGAGGAATATCTTCTAATGATTGTAGCAGATTGTGTCGAAGAAAATCTAAATAAATTTCACCGGTCAGTCGAGGTGGAAAAAGTAGGGTCCAATAAGCATGCCATTTACCACGTCAGTCCAAATATTTAAAGAAAATCTATGTTGAAAATGAGTCCTTTTTCCAACATGTGGATTTTCGACTGCTCAAACATGATTTTTGTGGACATTGTGCACTCCGTTTCGTGTAAATGTGCCCTCGTCTGTACACAAAATTAGTTTCGTAAAATCTTCATTTCTGTCGAACTGTTGCCACTGGCAAAATGCAACTCTTCTAGGATGATTTTCTGATTGTAACACTTGTACCCGTTGATAATGATAAGGATAATACGGTTCTTGTCGTACTGTCTTCCACAATTTACTATGAGAAGCTTCAACTTGAGCTATTATGGCTCGAGTACTCATTGTTGGGTCGTCTTCTGAATCATGTAAAAAAATCTGTTGGTAACTATCTTAAGGCACACTTATGAAGGGAATTTGTGCCCCGCGACAACGTCCCACGACAATAGTCTTACATCATTCAGAGGGAGAGACATCAGTATGTCGCGTGAATAAATTAATCTAACCAATTTTACCCGGCTTGATAATATACTAAGTGACATATAAATCCGAACACCCAGTTTAAATGGTTTTATTTTAATAAAATCTGGTGAATGTATTTATCTTACTGTAAATAACAAGTGAAAAAATTTTCAGCCTTATCAGTTGGACATTCCGGTTTTTATACTGCTTTTTTTTAATTCACTAACGCTCTAAAAATGAATATTTCAGCCGCAGTAAAGAATCAACGTTGGCGGATTTTGGTTCTTCACATCTTTTACGATCGGTTACGATGCCTAGAGTACGGAGACCTGTACGATTTCGTCAACTTAGTGAGTTTGATAGGGGCCGTATAGTGGGACTTAGGGAAGCTGGACTTTCTTTTCGGGCAATTGCAGTTAGAGTGCAAAGAAGTGTAGACACGGTGGTTAGGTGTTGTCAGGCATGGCTTCGAGAAGGCCGTACGCAAAGAGCAAGGGGCACTGGACGCCGCCGTAGAACAACAGACCGTGAAGATCGCCGCCTAAGATTATTGGCCTTAAGGGACCGTTTCTCCACTACCAGGTCCATTGCAAATGAATGGTTTGCAGAACACGGAAGACCTATTGGCGTGCGAAGTGTTTGCCGACGAATGAGAAGTTTTGGCTTGTTTTCATACCGGCCACACTGGGTCCTCCCTTTAGCTCGAGAACACTGACGTAATCGCCTTGAGTGGTGCAGACAACGGTCACTCTGGGATCAGGAATGGAACAGTATTGTCTTTAGTGACGAGTCTCGATTTTGTTTAGGCATGCACGATGGTCGTGCCAGGGTTAGAAGGCGACGTGGTGAAAGGAGTTGGAGTTATGGTTTGGGGTGCTATAGCTTATGGTTCCAGGTCACCTTTAATCTTCATCAGAGGTAACATGAATGCGCAGCGTTATATCCACGAAGTTCTAGAACCCCATGTTTTACCCTATCTTGACACCCTGGGCGATCCAACTTTCCAACAAGATAATGCCCGACCACATGTTGCAAGAGTCACAATAGACTTCTTTCAACATAATGATGTCACATTGTTACCATGGCCACCAAGATCTCCCGACTTATCGCCAATTGAGCACGTGTGGGATATGATGGGTAGGAGATTGCTCAATTTGCAATGTCCTCCTCAGACTCTAGAAGCACTTCGAGAGGAGTTGGTGGTTGCCTGGAATGAGATACCACAGGAGGACATTGACCACCTGATCAGAAGCATGCCTAGGCGGGTTGGAGAATGCGTAGCACATCAAGGTGCATCCACACATTATTAAAGGTCAAAGGGCTTTAAAGCAGTGCAATCATTTTGAAATTTTTATCATTTACTTATTATGCTTCATTAAGTACTTATACAAAATTTTATTAAAATAAAACCATTTAAACTGGGTGTTCGGATTTATATGTCACTTAGTATACATGAAAAATAGTATACTAGATGCAACATGATACACTTAACAATGGAATATGTAAGCTTAGATATTGATTACATATTTAACCAGAAGATACCCACAAGCCGTACCTACAAGCAAACGTACTAAGGCGTGGCAGAGAGCTGAGCCGCAACCCCTCCCGCACGGGTATTATGTAAAAAAAACTGAAAAACGTATAAAGCGACGAAATGTCATCTTTCAGACTAGGTCGCTATGATCGGTGTTTAAGCAACACGTACGCTAAGTTAACATCTCGTAGAAAACTCTACGTTATGTCACAAAAAACCTACGAAATGTAAAAAAAAAGGACGAAATGTCCCTTTATGGCCTCATTGATTTGCATAATATCTTGTAACCTTCAGTAAGGCGTGTGGTTGCTGGATAGATCCCTACCGTGCCAACAATTTTGACGCTAGGTTATGTTTTTTTGACATTTAAGAAAGTTTAGATAGATGAATCAAATGCAGAAGCATATTTTCTTGCAAATAATGTCGATCAGTCAACAATATTTGCTCTACATTGAACAAATTCCACAAGCTGGGATATCTTCAATAAATTGTAGGATGAGAATATCCCATACTTGATATTAATGATCTGAAAATAAACAATTTAATGCATATGGATATGTATTTATATATATATATATATATTTATATATATACAGGGTGACTTTGAAGTTGAGTCATTAATTTTCAGATAATGATTGTAGAAGGAAGATAAACCAAAATATGTGTGTAAAAATAAAAAAAAATAAAAAAAAAATGTTACCTTGTTTTATAAAGTATCCTCCCGACAAGTATTTCAGTGCGGACCTGTATTTGATCGTGCGGTCTTGGAGCACCGGCATGCCCTCCCCTGTGAGGTCTTAAGTCACCTGATTCACGAGCCTTTTGTACTACATTCAGCATTTTCGTAAACATGTGCCATTTTTTATTCACTATTCACTCACGCGTTACTGACTGACACATCGACTGAATACAACTGAATAAGATTGTACATTGTAGTAAAAACATCGTTTCAAATTCTTTCGCTTTTTTGTTTCCGATGCGTTGAACGGATAAGGCGGATTATAGCCGTTGTTGACAAACACGAGCACATAATATTATATTAAAATAAGATCTACTCACTGTTAAAATAAATGACTCAACTTCGAAGTCACCCTGTATATATATATATATATATAGATGAAAATTAAAGCTTCCGCCTAATTACATTGATAGAAGTAGCAGCAATTGTATAAAATAATTTTAAATTAACTTACAGTAGTATGTGAGGATGTTGCTAAATATTATTTACGTTAAGGATGAGCGAAACACCCAGTAACATGGTGAAAGCTGGATACATTGTACAATGGTCAAACTTATACAAACTACACACAGCTGTATGACAAGAACAAATTGAAAACAGATTAAACATATTTTAAACGAAAGTTAAGCATTACGTCGTGAAGCCACTTGATAATTGCACAAAATGGTGGGCATAGAATCATGAGTAAGATGAACCTTTTGACAGATGGCCGAAGGTTAGCAGTGTCCGTGTAGAATGATGGAACGAAAATTCTTTTGTAAGGCGTGTGCTACGTTGCCAAATCACTTCAGATGGTGTGATTTTCAAGATATCTTGGGTAAGAACTTGTCAACCCGACCAGAGGCAGTTGAATTAACTATATTATTATGAGATGGGCAATTGAATTAACAGTTATTATTTAATTATGAGAAAACAATTATTAAAATTTGAATGGAATGGAATGTTTTGGTGGTATAGACCAAAAAAACAGATTCCATTTATGGTTGTGAAGAGCCAAAATTTGGAGAGATGTGTAAGTGCTCAACTTTTCGCAGTTTAGCTAATATGAGTAAATGACGCTCAGTTGCTTAACATCTGTCTTCTTATTGATGCAGTTGTCATTCATGAAAATGTGGGACATTTCCAGGAATAAACGTTTGGATAGGTGTTTTTCTTTATCGAGAACTTTGATAATTGTGTAGATCATAGTGTCCTGTTGTGTTGACATGAGATGCTAGAGCACATCTCTCGGGATGAAGCCCAGAATCACTTTTGTGTGGTGTAATCCTTCCTTTAAGAGATCTGGAGGTCTGACCCATGTACATTTGGTTGCAATTGTTGCAATTTATAGAGTAGACTGTGTCGGTTAAGCCAAGCAGCGGGACTCTGTCTTCCATCTTTGAAAAAATGCAGTTTATAGTGAGGACGGATTTGCAAGCAATTCGACAGTTCAATGGACTGCATAATCAGATCAGCTTAGAGGTCAGTTCCTTGATATAGGGCAGGACAGCAAAACCAGATCTGGAATTTGGGATGGTGGTTGTACTGTTAGAATTGGTGTTGTTGTTGGTAATTCGATCTGTTCTGTGATTAGGAGTTGTGAAACTATTGCTTGTATCATTAGAGTTTTGTAAAATACTGGGAGGAGAGCTGAACAAGATCTTGTTAATCAGACCCTTCGGATAACCGTTGTTAATGAGCAGTTTTGATAGCTTCCGTAAATCTGAAGTATGGAAAGTATTATCTGAGATGCTGATTACCCTTGTT